TATTATAATATTATTATAATATTATTTTTCTAATATATAATATGGATTATAAATTTTGTTATTTGAACAATTTTGCATTTTTTCAAAAATTTACCTGTTTCACGTTGGCGTCCACGAGAATCGGATTTCCTTCTATATGCGTTACCTCTCCTTTAATATCAAAACTTGCGAAGAAATTTCCTAAATATTTAGTGTAAGCGTATGCCTGTACGACATAAACTTTTCTGCCGCTTTTCTGCATTACTTCTGTAGGATAAAAACCTTCCGGTACCTCGACATCTGGCGATTTACCGCGATACAGAAAGGTATTCGTATGACCTCCGATTACCAAATCAATATCTTCGACTTCCCGGGCGATCTTCTTATCGGTCTCAAATCCCGAGTGACCCAGAGCGATGAGAATGTCGACACCCTGTTCCTTTAACTTCTTAACTTCTTTTCGGATACACTCCACTTCATCTTTGAAAATTACTTTTTCTGTACTTGACAAGATCTTCGTGTCGGGCGTCAGATAACCGATTACGCCGATCTTTTTGCCATTCACTATGAGAATCGTGCTGTTTTTCAGATTGGTGGCGGCTAGGTTCGGCTGCTCGCTGAGGTCCAGATTTGTTGTCAAGATGGGATATGTGGCATTTTGTATAAAAGGTATTAAACCTTCAACACCGTCATCGAACTCGTGGTTGCCCAAGCTCTGTCAGAATTCATTGAATATATAATAACGCGAATTATTATACTTATATATACTTTTGTTTATAAATATTATTTACATTTATTTACAATTATAATTTTATAGAACAAATTGCAATATTTTAAGTAATGCAGAAACACTAGAAGTACCAACGTTTCTTAAAGAAAGAATGATTTTGCTAAAAAATTTTTAGGTAGAGAGAGAAGAGATCTGGAAATAATTTTATTGAACCAAAATAATTATATGGAAAACTCAAGCAATGATAAGCAATACTGCAAAAATTTGACAACCAGCTTGAACATTCTTATACATAACTTTGATGAAAGTTAAATATTAACAATTTATGTGATCCAAACGAGATTACTTTTAAATGTGTATCTAATTAAATTCTTAAATATTTCAAAATCGTATATTTACTAAGAAGGATCAAGTGAATAAATTACTAGGAAACTTAAGAAAGTATTGAAAAATAAATAAATTTCAGAATCTTATTATGTATACAAGAAATATGATATTAAAAATAAAAACGATTAATAATGACCGCTTGGTACTTTTAGTTAAAAATTTAATTATAAACGAATTATAATTAAATTGAATTGAATTAATTGTAATTTAATAATAATAAATAAATTAACAAGAAATCTTTAGTTTTTAGAATATTTTTATAGTTTTTAGAGTCTTGCTTAGATGATATTTACTATAGCGTCTGGCGCCAAGAGGTTCATAAACCAAGAAACCGCCTTCCACTTGTATACGTTGTACCACGCGGTTCCTTGATAAGTATCGCCGGCGTTCAGGAAAATCGTTGAAGGTGAATCCGATTTCGCTTGACGGACCAGAGTAGCAATTCTGGCGAAACCTCCGTAACATTTCCCAGCTTTGGAATCCGCTGGCGTACACGCCGTCGACAATTGCGACGTCTCCTCGAATCTAAAAATATTATGTGAGAAATTCTCAAGGCGATACTTCGTTTGATTTTTAATTACATAAATTTTGACGTCAGAAGAAACAAGAAAATTGTCTCGATAAATAACTCCACGTATGCAATGTGTAACTGACACGTGGGTGTGGAAGATAATTAACTATCTTAACATTTGCGATTAGCTCGGTGGTGATAATTGTCGTTGGTGTGATAGAATTGGATGGTAACGACTATGTATGAAGAACAAACATAACTTAAATAATTCAATTATAAAAAAACAAAATTAATCCTTTGTATAATACTCAACCGAATTTGCACAATTATTCTTTGTTTTCTCTGGTAAAAATTTTTCTCAGAATTTTTCATATAATTTTTTAGAATTTCTATATAATTTAATAACTTTCTCATTTTTTATACGAATTGGAACACTTCTCAGAAATCTACATCTTTTCTCAGAATTTTTTGCATATGTTAATTGTGAAATATCGTAAGATTTTTAAGATTTTTTGTAAGTATAATTTCTGATGAAATGTTATAAAATGTAAAAAATTTTACAATATTTTTTAAAAATTGTGGGATGAGAAATTTCAGAATATTTCACTTGTATGAAAAATTCTGATGGAAGATGTAAACTTTCCGAATATTTTTGAGTATTTCTGAAAAATGTTTTAATTAGTATAAAAATTATAAGAAAAATTTTCATCAGGGTTGCGATAAGAAACAGAAATATCAAATATATTAACACTTCTTTTATTCTAAGACTAATATTACATTTGTCGTACGACAAAGCATTTCAAGTCTGTGGCTGCAAGAAAGAGAAGTTGTCGGATCTCTCCATCCTATAGCCAATCAATAAAATCTTTGTCGTGCAACAATTGTAATACCAGCATAATAGTGAGAATTCCTAAATACCTCGCATGCATGTCATTTGTGTGAACAATTCTAATGGTGAATTCTTCATCCTTCCGTAAAATGGGATTTGCGAAGGCTTTGTTTGCGATTATCAATAGTACGATAACGCAACAATTTACGAACGAAACGATTGACATCTTCTATTGTTACTGGTTTTCAGACGTTATGATTCTGTAGAGTTTTTCTAGAATTTCTTCTTTATTATCTGGTATCTTGTTATTGTATTTAATGTCGATAAGGCACGCTTTCGTTTCACACTGCCAGTCACACTATATTGCTTCGATTTTCCTCACGATCGTTGAATTATCACGTTGAATTTTTCAATCTGGAAAGACATAAAATATCTATGTTTCAAGGTTTATTCTGTATATTTCGTGATATAATTCGATTAATTTTATGACATAAATTATATTTTACAATAATTTGAGTCCTTTATTTGTATACCTGTTGATGATTGTATTTATGAATAAAGAAATTATTATACAGTGAAAATATACAAAAGTTTTTATATATTTTCACTTTTCGCATATTGCATTTATAAAATATGAGATCTAAATTTATTGACTTTACGATCTTGCAAAACAGATTAGAACTTGCCAAGAATGCAACAGCTTGTAATGTTGTCGTAAAGTAGATCGTTAAGCCTCAGGCAATAATCAATTCGATTTAGGCTGGCGTCGTGCCTGACTAATTTATAGAAAGTGTTACGAAAATGGAATTTTTTTCTTTGATTTTCACAACATATTTTCCTTTATTAAAACACATTAATCATCTGAGAAGTTATGAACACAGAATTCACGCAATTCTATTTTTAGAAGGAGGAAAAGAATGAAAGGGGCACACTATCCGGATTAACGGAGTTATACTATAATTGTAAAGTATTGTATAACATAATGATAATTTGTATTGTATATGTGATATTTTTTATATAAAAAAATGCTTATAAAAAATAAGAAGCTGTAAAACAGAATCTATTCATTATTATACTGAATAAAAATATCACATAACATATGAAAATGTTTCATTAAAAAAATATTCGGATATATGTTATACTCTCAAGCAGTAATTATAATTTTAATTTATTTAACGTTTAATTTTGCATTTGATTAGTTTTAATATTACGATGTTTATCATTTTAGAATAAAAAGATTTTTCATATGTAGGTGATAAATACACCGAGAAAAAAATGCTGTTAATTCAATTAAAGTCTATATTATGGGCTGTCACTAACATAAGTGATTAATTTATGTACATTTTTATTGACACAAAGGCATAAATTATTATTTCAATAATCAAGCCTTTATATCAATAAAATTACGCATGAATTAATCATTTATGTTAGTGACAGTTCATAATATAGACTTTAATTGAGTCAACAGCATCTTTTTCTCAGTGTAGGAATACCAGAATAATCTATATTTGATATTGTCCGGGAAAAAATGTTTCATATGTAATTATATATAACTATATAAAATTATATATAAGTATATAAAAAATTGACATATTTTATATACAATTATATATAATTATATATAAAATATGTCCATATATATAACATAATAAATAATAATAAGGCTCCACAAGTATAAAATAATTTAGAATAAATGACCGTACGGTTTTACTGCCGAGAATTTTCAACGATGTCTAATTTATTAACTGGCAATATTATAACACAGGACATGAAGAATACTGTTAACTACATAGATTTCCGGTAATAATTGAGTTACTGTGACATTGAGAATGATCCGATCGGTGTCGAAACGTATGTGTAATTATTTTTATGTGTTAAATTAAAATTTTTTGTTACATTATTGACTCTTAGCCCTTCATATATATAACATTTTTCCCGGATGTTCAAAGATAAAAGATTTGAACTCCGTACTGAAGCGGAATGGCAAACATATGTTTATATTTTATATGATATTTTTGGATTAGCATAATATATAAGTGGAATATGCTTATATATTGTAAAATAATACACTTAATTATGTTCTAAAATGTAGTTATTTATTTTAGAAATACTTTGTGCATGTTTAATAGTTAATATAATGTATTATAAACGACAATTGGAGACAAGTTGAATAACACTGTATGCGTTACCTTGAATATCAATGAGATATGTAATTCCATGCGAATTACTGTGCGCTAAGTAATATTCTGTACACGTGTAACATACACACGTGTAATGTAGCGCAACTTTAGAGAAAGCGACGCAACGTAAAATCGAGTTTTGCGAAACGAGTACATCGGTATCATTCACGGAAATATTAATTAAACCTATCGCAAATTTTCTAGAATAACACTTCCGTTATTTCCGCAACTAAATTAAAAAAAAATAAAGTAGGAATAAGGTGATTAAGTAACGTGCGTCACCGACTATCACTTCAACTACGAATGGCGCTGTTAAACACTTGTATAATCGCAAAATCGAAAATATATGACTATTAATCACTTTTTTACATTATCGCAGAGTTTTGTGTGAGCGACGAGAAATACGAGCCGATTTTCTCGAGCGACTGGCGTCGACTGAATATCGACGTTGTCGTGCAGGCCCCACCGAACTTCTTTCCGATCTCTACTGGAATCCCTATTCGAATCTTGCAGCATCCATCGTAGATTTATTCAACTTTTTAAGAAAGTTTTCGGTCTTTCACAGATTGAAAATTGGATTGAAAGATATATTTTTATAGTTAGCTTTAAAATTTAATTTAATAACTCATTGTTTTTATATATTATGTTCATACAATTTTTATTACACGTATATTATATATTTTAAATATAAATGTTACAAAATTAATTTTTCAGAAAGATATTTTAGTCAGAAAAAATTATTATGATTAGAAAATTTTTTTATATAATAAATTAATATATTTAAACAGGGCAATTAGGAGTCAGCGCCGAAATTTAAGTTGTGCTATGTGTTAAGTGTGTCGTCATATTAATAACTAATATAACAAATATACTAATAACTAATATAACAAAAGATATCCTATTCCAATAATCTATGTCATATTCTAATAAAACCTGTTTTATTACGGTAATAAATGTTTTTATTTTATATTAAAAGTGGATTAGTTACGTCACAAAGTGACCCGTATTCATAGTCAGGCTTTATATTTAAGACTTCCTTAAATTTATCTTCAGATGCTCTACGAATTATTTCATTGGCTACTGAACATCTAAAAATAAATTTAAGGAAGTCTTAAGTTAAAGGTCTGACTATATGAATACGGGGATTAATGTTTTTGTCATGCATTTTATTGAGCAAAAGTAACGATTTTTTTACGTTCTGCCTTAAAACGATAACCTATTGATAGATTTTAGAAAAGCCAATTGCAAGAAAAATAAATGAATATTTAACAAAAAAAATCATATATAATTCATTTTGGTTAATATTAATTTATTAATTAGTATTTTATCGTAATTGTGCTCTTTGTACAGCTTGTATATCTTTAATATAAGTAGCCATGACCTAGTTATTTTGATATTGGAATCTAGAAATGTGTTTATTATCAGTTGTTTGTAACAGAAATTTTGATATAAAAAAATCGATCTAACGATAATTATATTTTGTGTGAAACACTTTTCATATATCTTAAAAAGTTTCTCTATAATTTTATTTCTTTATTAGTGTTTTATTAAATTTGTAATTATTTTTTCGCTTGATCGTTGATTTAATTTCCGATTAACCTGTGATAAGAAATAATAAATTAATCTGCAAATTTGATTAATAAGTAAATTTTAAATAAGCAGTATTGTTTAATGGAATATTAAGTATTCAAGTGGCTTCCATTTTTATTTCCGATTATTATCTGCTTGAACTTCCTTTAAGTACTTTAATTCTCATAAATTTTCGGGCAGTTTATTTAATACAAATGAACAACAATTAATTTGATTCTAAATCGTATGTATATTTATATGCATGTAAATCAGAGTTGGCAAGTAACACGTTACTTTGTTGATCATTACCTTGTTATAATAACAATTGGTAATGACATTGTGAATTTTTTATGATGGTAATGGTAACATTAGAGTTAGAAAAGTCAATCATAACTTGTAATAGATTGAAAAAGCCATTCGTTACTGAAAAGAATACCTCCGAATTTGTAACGCGTTACTTTTTACTCGTTACTTCTAACGAGTAATGTTACGCGTTATTTGCCAACTCTGTTACTTATTACTTTTTTCAGTAAGTAACGCGTAACAAATTATTTTTCAAAGTGACTCTTCTAACTTAAGCACAATCTTAGTTAGTTTAGTTAGTTAGCGTTATCGTTGTAAAAAATTGTAACATCATCATCAAATTGTTTTTTATAAAAAATAACGGCAAAATAACTGAAAAGTAACGTTTGCCAACACTGATGTAAATATAATATTTAAATTAATACATATAGCATTGATCAATAGAATTTTAATTATTTTTTAAGACTTAAAATCTTCTCAGATATAAATTAGCGATTGTTTTATTATTAGAGTTACAGAATTAATTAATATTACATCATTGGGAAAGAAATCATTACTCATTTCTGAATGAAATAAGCTAGCTATTATTTAGGCTTACAAGAGTCTACTATTGTATCCTTGAGAATCTTAGCATGATGAAATCTTGACACGCGTTTTTTCGGCTAGAATAATTGGTTTCAATTGCGTGCTGTGTCCATTGACACGCCGCCGTGGCCAAAATGTATAGAACGTAATACTATCTTTCTGTCAGCAAGCCAGAATGTTGCCAAAGTTATTCAGCAGTCTCCTTGGCATCATATCCTTTCCCATCTATTATACTCGCTATTCGTTCTCATTTGCCTATATTACGTGTCCTGTTCGTCAGAAATAAATAATCTCGCGCATCATATAAATTGACATGACGCGAGGCAATTTATTTACTAGTGTAGACCTCAAACTGTTTTCGTCACGCATTATGAACGTTTGCGTAATACAAGCCATTCTAATTTTGTTTAAGCCAAAACGTATCACATGAGAACACAGAAAGATAAGCATATCTTCGTCATATATAGTATATACGATATGCTGCAATATGATATCTCGTTATCAATATCGACACAAGAACAACATGGCCGTATACTAATCAATTTGAATTAATTAAACATCGTAATTTTTCTTTCTCTTTTTTTTTTTTAAATAAAACTCAACTTTGCGGAAACTTTTGTCATTGATAGTGTATTTTTCAATTAAGCATAAATTTGTATAGATGATTAGAATAGTGGTAGATATAAGGGTTTTTATGCTGGTTTGTCAGGAATTGTTACATATTTTTTTTCTGATTATATGCAGAAATGATGATAATAGAAATTTTTTGTTAATATTTTGTATTGATGAGTTCTTCTGATCTATTAAGAATTACAATCAGCATTAAACTAGATTTAGAACTAGATTATATAAATTAGATTTTTTTTTGTGCAAAAAATTATCCGGGGAAAAATGTTTCATATATAATTATATATAAAATATGTCCATTTATATAATATTTTTTCCCGGGTAGATTATTTTATATTAGGCAACCTTATTAGAGAGATTTTAAAAAAGAGTTTTTTTAGGGAACGGATATTCCTGGAACATTACATATGTTTATATTTAAATACTCAAGACTTTTTTTCTATTTAATTTATATTTAAATTATTTTAAATTAAAAAACAAATAATTTAAAATTCAATACATATGAAAAAGGAGCTATGTGCCAATATATAATATATTTATTACAATATTAAAATAAAAATTATAAAACAAAAGTAGAAAAATTGATGACAAAACTTAATAGCAAAATATAACAAAGACAAACGTTTCGACCTACTATAAGGTCATTTTCAATGTTGTTAACATAAAAATTAAAATATGTACACAAAATTAATTTAGAAAGGCAAATGAAAATAAAAGTTACTTATGGTAATTCCGGTATATAGCTGTGAATCGGTGGTAACTAGTGTTGTTAATTTCCCGGGAAATTTAAATCGTCGGGAAAGAACCTATCTTTCCCGGAATTTTTCCGAGGAAAGAACCTGAAACTGGGAAAAAACGGTTTTTTAATGCAAGTAATTATAAAAATATAAAATTCTTAGCACACACAAAATAAATCTATACCTTAACCTTGGAAGATGGCATCTGATATTAATTTCTTAAATGAAATGTTAAAAAATACAAAATATAACAGCTTACAATAAAAAGGAGGCATAAATAATAATAATAACAATAGTGACGATTTTCCAACTAGGACACAGAACATTACACTATGTTTCACTGTGTATAAGATACTTGTTGAAACGCAGTTTAGTTTCATAGTGTAACACCAGAATGCATTGTAGTCTTCCATTGTTATTCTTATAATTATATTTAGCATATCAATAATAAATTTATGATATTTATTTAGGCTTAAGTTATAATTTTTTCAGAATTGGCGATTTTTGAAAGTTTTATTGCAAAATAAGTACGGCTACCAAATAACTTTTTTGAAAAATTGGTAACATATACGTATTTTACACGCTTGCTACTTACCTTTTTACCGTGTCGAGCAGTGTAACACTGTGTTATAGTTGAAACACTTTGCGTAAGACACAATGTTACACTGTGTCACCTGTATACGTTGTTGGAAAACACCCAGTATATGCTTTTACAGTATAAGTTAATTAATTAAGTTAAAGAAACAAGTTGCTATATTAAATAAAATTGTAAAAAACTTTTTCTTAACATAGTATATACATACATATATTAAGTTTGTGTGAAACAAAGAGAAACATAAAATAAACGAGAAAAATAAAATTTTAGTAGTTAACACTTGAAGATATGTTACGACCATAGGCCATAGATATAAGTATTATAGATACTACAGATAGTTAAGATAACTGATACGCATTGATTCATATTCTGATAGTATCGCCATTGTTGCCAATGTCGCCTATGTAAAAAAATATACGGTGGCCATGAGTTCTTTCCCTCAAAGCGTGGAAAGAAACGTTTTTCGTTCCCATTTTCTCTCTCCCGGGTTTTTTCCCTGGTTCTTTTCCGGTTCTTTCCCTCCCTCGCAACACTAGTGGCAACTTATCACATCGGTGTTATAACACAGAGAAAAAGGTTTCTTTGGATTTAGTATTCCTATTTATTTGACTAAAATTTGTTTCATTGAAACAACATATGCTTGTACGAAATATTATTTGTTTGAATAAAAATTTTGTTGTTTCATTTGAGAAATCTCTATTGCTTGACAGAAACAACATTATTATTTAAAGTAATATCTTTCAATTAAATAATATATTATTTGGTTACAATTAATACACACAATAAACAATTTGTTTATTTGAAAATGGCAAAATATATATATTCATAGAAGTTAGGTTATTCCATGCAAATAATTGCTTTCTTAGAATAGTCATTACATTTTTTGACCGAAAATATGGAAACAATGGCTTATACGTCTAACAACAGAATTAAACGAGCAGTGCTATGTGCTACATCAATTATGTTTGTACCGGACAGTCGATCACGCGAATACTGAAGATACAC